ACGGCGTGCCACAGGGTGGCGCACGACTATTTCTTCTGTTTTTGGAATGTTTCTAGCAATCTTAATATACCCATATATACTCTCAGCAATGTGGAATAACATATCTTCCCAGGACCTGGACGGCTGGATTTTTGACAAACCTACAATAAATTTTACATACATTTTGTCTTAATTTACATAAGTTTACTATTTGATGGGTGGCTTACCCATGGTTCGCACGTCCCGAGACCCCTTCCCCTAAATATAGCCACATCCTTGCTCGGGGTTGTTGTTTCGCATTTTTCGATAATGTCACCTACAGCTTCCATTCATTCTTTGCACCCTAGTTTTAGAGCGGAAAGGCGGGCTACGAACTTGTCGTCAACGGAAATCTCTTTTTTCGGATGATGAGACTCCGACACCTACTTTAGCCCCGTCTTACCCCTGCTGTTCACATAAGCCTACATAAACCCTACCCTGGGTGGCGGCGTGCGCCACATGGACATACGCGAAAATACACTGACCGTAGCAAGTGTATAGTTAACATGGAGCAGGTGTTTCTATAGTAGACTTGCGCTGCACCTAATTCATGCGACAAGGTGAGTGTTTTTTGTCGGCAAAGTAATGGTTTACGTGCAAAGTGGAGCTGTGCTATTTACGACACGATAACCATCTGTCTGGCCGCGATGCGTCGGAACTTCCTACATGAAAGACGACCAAATGTAGATCAGAGATCGGTTCATCTTTTTGAACCTACATAGGACTTTACAAAGAAGCTGTCAGCGACAATCTATGGGTACTGTTGCCACTGGGAAAGTTGCTGGTTGCCTTTCCCAGATCTATTAATTCACCTGGTCAGGTCATGCCATCTTCATCCGCTATCCATTTTAATTATTTCGTTTATAAAGGTTTTTTCTTTCTTAATTTGGTTGGGACACCCCTTAAATATCGGAGCAGGCCTAGGACTAAGCCCAAGCTTAAGCTTAGGCTTCATTAATCGCGCAGTCTTCGTGAACTGATTATCGGAAGAAATGAACGTCTCCCTCCTTCGCCATCCTCTCCCCTTTCCCCTCCCCTCCCCCGCGCACCCTTCCCACCCCAATCCTGCTAACCGCGTTGTGGTACATTGACACCTTTCCAGTATGTGCGACCTTGCAGTGCCATTGAAACTACAAAGACAAACCAATGAAGGCAATAGTTACACAAGAATGCTGGGTTGTGAACAAAACTTTCGCCCCAGACGGGATTCGAACTCGCACCTTTCAAGGCGAACTGCGGCCGAAAACAGCAGTTAACAAACAAGAACAAACAAAAAGGCAATAGTGTTGCTTTCAAAAGCAGCTTCCCTCCTGTTGAAGGACGAAAGGTTCACGAATGGGATAGGAAGAAAGTTACACACCGCATCGCACATTTCAAAACCCTTCTCATATTATCGTGTCATCTTTGTGCAGGAGACATGGAAAACCGTTAATGAACTCAACAAATTACCTATCACAGATGTACAGCCCCATATAACAGGATTTTTTCCGAACCAGCAAGACTCTCCACCTCATATTAGTGGGAAAGTGGGTATGAAATCAGGCCATGAGCAGAACATCCGTTTGAACATCGACTGGCTGCACAGGCTTCTAGCTCGAATAGCGCAGTTGAACTCTGGGAGTCAAGCTGTAGCCCATTCCACTTCTTGTTCAAAGGGAAGAAAATGAGGTTAGGCAATCCCCAGCCGCTTTTTTTGCAGACTTTGACCCTTCCCAAAGCGCTGTGCCCTCAAACAAGTGATAGTCTGCATTAGTCATCATGCACACGTTTCCTATCTTTTCTGGGCAGTAAAATAAAACTGAATACGCGAAATGGAAAATGAAAAGAAAACAAAAATGGAGATATATTCGTAGAGTATTAAATCCTCACCGAGTAGCATTCTATTGCATTTGAAGCTGGCACGAGGAAAAGTAGTAGTGAAACAGAAAGACAATATTGCATCTGTAAAAGAAAGCTACGAAATGTTATGACGGCGAATTTGATCCAAATTCTATGAGACGGAGCAAACACGAAAAATTGCTAAAAATTAGACTTTCTAAAGGAAAGGAAAAGATCACGAAAGATGAGATTCGACGTAAAGCCGTTCATAAAGAACACATGGTCAAGATCATCTGAAGAACCAGCTGATGCAAATAAGCACCTGAGTATGATGGCTTAAGAAGCCAGAAAACCCTGATTGCGAATTGAAACCGTTGTGGTTGATCGATATGTTGTAAGCGCGATGGGAGGAGACGAGACTGAACTACCTGTCCATCCGACTGGGCTGGTCGGTGGACTCAAGGTGGAGCTTCCATGAAAGCACCATCGAGGCTCAAGCAGAAAAATACGAATTCACCTCTTAAAGGGTTCGTTTCAGGTCTGGTCGCACCATAACCTTGAGTTACTGTGCTGTTGGGTTACTGTGGCACGTGCAGAACGGAAACTAGACTACCTCATTGTATATGACCCATAATAAAAACTACATTTATTTACTTATTTATTTATTTACTATAGCCCAAATGAGACAAACAAAGTTGTATCAAATGGAAAACAGTGACACAACAGTGTATAAATATATAAATATATGCATATATACATGTACAGCAAAATAATACGGGAAGCTTAAGATGACACAGGAATTCAAGGAAAAGCTATGAAAAAGAGAATTTAAAAAAAGCAGCTTATTAGTGGCTTAATAGGAGCACGGGGGGGGGGGGGAGATCCAAAGGGCCACCTAGGAGGGAAGGGCAATGGCCGGCCAACATTGCAAGTCGCCAAGCGGGGAAAGCGACTCCGGATACCAACTTAGTAGGTCCGCCAACCCCTCAATTTACAAGGTTTAAAAATGAGAATGCTGCATAAAACAAAAAATCTTCCGAAAATCAGAAGATAAAATTTACGATTCTATTTACTGATGCGGTTGAAACGCGGTACAGCGTTAATGGGAACCTTAATGGAGGCCTGATCCTAATCCTTTACGCCTAATTTAACTTGTACGACTCGTCCTCATTTCATCTGCGAGCACCAGCAACAAACCATTCATTTGTGTCTATCCACGGTTGTTGTAAGGGTCGGCGAAGACGGCTATCTGAAGCATCGTTTAGCTGCATTCGCAGCTGCTTTATGTGGTGACAAGGACATCTACCCATCTCGCAGCAGGTCTCCCTCTGGACCCACCCTAGGCCGATGTCAGACTTTGCGAATCGCGCGATTCGCTAGCGTCTGCGGTCGCGTCGCGGCCAGTGAATCACTCAATTGGCTGGTACCGCAACGCGACCGCGGACGCTAGCGAATCGCGCGATTCGCAAAGTCTGACATCGGCCTACGGCTCTTCTTCTCCATCTGTCGTCGTCTCTTCTCATGAGATGATCGGCCCAACACCGTTTAAACCAAAGGAAATGCAAATGCCATGTTTACGTTGCCAAGTCGCTATGCACCATTGGAGTTGATGGGAACATCTTAGTAATATTTCCTGAGAAATTCCCACAGTAACAAAGTGCACACTCTCATGAAAAGGTGATGACGACATCCACAATTGAATTTCAAGTTCTGATACGCTACAAGTGGGAACGACTACTTTTAACAAAAGATATTGCGGCGATTTTCGGTGCTGAACCTCCCGGCAAGAATGATGGTAATTTGGAAGACTCTATTCTATACTCTATTCAGAGGAAAAAA